ATATTTTGTTTTTTAGTAACTGACTTCTGAAACATAATTCCAATTAAAATGTAATCATTTGAAATGATTTTCTGACAGATTTCTTTTCTCTCTTTTAAATTCATGTTTATTTATAAATGGAGTATTCGTCTTAAATTCATATTCGAAAATTAACTCATCGAATAAATATTCTATTATTCGTTGACATCCCTTAAAAATGCAACTAATGTTAGTTTTGAAGAGATTATAAGAATGAGAAACTTTGCTGTGTAAAATTTTCCTTTATTAGCATCAAATATGTAGAACGCAAACGCAGAATCAATTTACATTTTGTTCAAAGTCCTTTTTGAATACCGAAAAAGCTAGTGTATATGTTGAAATTCTGTTGCAGCAAATATCCATTTAGAAGCATTCCGGTCAAATGATCTGGAGAAAAAAAAATTCAAAAGCATTATCAAGCCATAGAGAGTCATTTTGCTTTCAATATTTGAAAATTAAAAATTCAAAGAAATTGTATTAGTTTTCGTAAGGCATAAAAATATCTTGAAATATCAAAATATTCATGCAATATATGGTCACAATTTTCTTAACATTGGATTTTGTGGTGTCTTACCATTTAGCCATACTTGCTCCATGAACCACTGCTGCTGGAATCAGACCATCTTCTATACCATCTCCCAGGGGAGGCAACTGATCCCATGACGTAGATGGTCAGTATAACCAGAACAAGAAGCAACAAAAGCTGAACGAAGTTCATTGTTCTCTGTGATACTAAACCTGACAGTCAAAAGAAAATTATATTTTTTACTATAGGTTGAACCTGGCTCACTTCGCATTGTAATCTGAGATAAGCGGATGAGTAGAATATAACAAAACTTCCTGTAACATTCAATGACACATCATTTATGTAAGTAACAAAAATATACTTTTATACAATACAAAATGAATTTAGCTTTCCGCTTTAAGGAATAATCTTTTAAGTTTTGAAACTAAGCGGGATCAATTCTCTGATCATCATGAATTACATGTACAGTAAATAATAACAAATAAAGATGCGTGGAACAGACTTGGAAAAGTTGATGAAAAGAAAGAGAGGAAAAAAGCAAAATAAAAAAAAAAAGACGCTTTATACAAGAAAACAGAATAAACATAGATGGATAAATCTTAATCAATCAATGAAAAATAATACAAAGATGATATTTTTACAGTTACAAATATCAAGAGTCAATAACAGTTTGGTTGAGAAAGAGCAGGTTTTTCTTGGACGAAAAAGAATTTCGAATTATGTTTCAATGTACAAATTTTGATTTGCAGATTTTTGATGATCCCTAATCAAAAAATTGTTATAGTTCACTATAGTTAACTTTGGAATAAAAGTTTTTACTATAGTATATCAAGCCGTATTTAGTAAACTAAAGTTTACTATAACATATTTTGTTAAGGTAATACGCAAAAAAAGTTGGTTGATCATAGATAAGATATGAAATTCAATAAAAACAAAATAAGAAAAATTGGTCAATTTTACCTTGATACCTCGATCTAGAGAAAGATAGGAGTGTATGATTTTACAAGTGAAATGTCTCCTTATATACTACAAGAACAATGAAATCTAAAAGAAAATAGTTGTCAAAAATGTCAAGATATGCAGAACGATTCTGCAGATTCATTAAATGGTATAGCTACACTGTTCTTGACTTTTACAAAGTATGCATGATGTGCACTAGTTACCAAAGGTGGACCTTGTAATTAACATTAAGATCAAAATTATACTGCGTATTTAATGTAGTGGTTTCTTTGCTGCTGACATCTTTGTTACAGAGATATCTATGTTATATGTTCTCTAAGGATTCTGTTTTTCCTCGATTTTTTTTTTGTAAAAGGGGATTTTTATTAAAGATAGACTCAATACAATATCATGAAGGGTATATTTTTACAATTTTTATTTTTGCATAAGAGGATCCCTTTGCCGTTTGTTGTACAAACAGGCGTATAAATGTAAAACAGTCAAAACTTGACAATAAGATATACAATTTAGTTACGTTAATTAAAAGGGATTTACATATATAACAGTGGCCTAGCTTTGACTTTTTGAGAAAATAATCTATTACTTTTTGCAAAAAAAAAAAAAAAAAAAAAAAAAAAAAAAATTAAGGCAAATTTGAAAACTTGTTCGTTTGCCCTTTCTTGACCGACTGACTAGAACGCACTGACACAAAATTTTGTTAACCTTAAGAAAACGATTTTGTATAAATTTATTTCAAAGTTTTTCTTATCATTAAACCACTGCCCCCAGGTTTTTTTGTTTTTTGCTATCAACATGTATTTAATAATAACAAAATTAAATTTAAAAAAACGTTCATATATCACTGCTTTCCAAAGAATGAGGATTTGATTTAGAACAAATACCAGTAAATTGGACCATATACCGGGTACTTTCTGGCTGTGACATTCCAAACTTTTTTAAATGTTTCATAATGCACAAAGTTACTGTAAATTCACGCTCTCTGATTAAATGTCATCATTCGCATTTGTTGAGGTAGGATATTGCTGGCGTATAACAATAATGCGCTTAAAGTATTGCAACTTGATGCACAATTTCTTTGTTCGAAATAAGTTTGAAAAAAATATTTACAGTTCTCTGTGACAAGATAATGTGCGTTGAATTTAATCCTTTCCACGTTATACCATAGATCAACTGTCCCAATTTCAAATAAGTTTTCTTCTATATTTGCCACTGAACAATAAGGATTTTCTGAGTTTGAACGAGTTAAAATTTGGAAGTACGAGTAATTAATTATCCACACCATTAGCTCACATTTCGAGTAACTTGCATGTAAGCGTTTTTGCTGGTTTACTGTCTGTTACTTTTGTTTGTTAAGTACAGACGATACGTTTCTCAGATATCTGTTTTGTATATCTTCGTAATAGATAAAAAATATTTAGATTTATTATTACTTTGCGATTTATAAAGTGTTTTTTTAATTGTCTTTAAAAAAGGTTTGATTTTGGCAACTTAAGTTGTTTCCAAAAGGTTTATATAGACACCATCGTCTGGTATCTTGCACAAATGCCTAGTTAGGTACTTCAATTTTTTCCAGTTCATTAAGAGAGTGGGGATGACCTCCAGGGGTTCATAACCTTTATACCAATAAATTTACATAACATAATAACACAAGAAACAAAATTATGTATAGTGAAATGGAAAAAAGTTGCCTATTATTTAGGAGTCATATGATCATTTACATTACAGGGACAGGGAGTGGATAGGGAGATCCCCCCGGAATATGCAGGACCATAATATCTATATGCCGAAGCAAATAAAAATGACTTTGGATGCCCTCCACTCTAGAAAACAGACCCCACCATAACTTCTTTTTTTCTCATGAATTTCTGGTCTGGAAATCCCCCCTCCCTCCTAGTAAAAATTATGGATCTTGTAACTGAATGTAACGTCGACAACGGGGGGTAACTCTTCAGAATGTGAAATTCGTCTATTGTAGCAGCCAATGACCTTTGATCCTTTAAACTTTAACCTAACCATTTGCTTTTCAGACTATTTAACCCAAATCTATACCAATAAATGTACTTATCGACTGTCATAGGTCCTGTCAACTTCATGAAATATAATTAAAGCACAAAATGTCATAATATTCCTACTTATTGATGTGTACATCACACTGCACGTGCAGTGCAATCTAAAATTGGTAGTGTTAAAATTAGTACTTAAGTTGGGTACATGATGCAAGCCCAATGTGATGCAGGTGTTCAGTTACATGTATAGTACAAGAACAAATTTAATAAAATTATCATTTACAAAAGAAGTTTTATCTTAACTTTGCCATCTACGACCATTTCCAAAAACAGGCAAATACATGTAGGGTGTGTTTGTGTGTGTTGATGGGAGAGGAGTGGGGTTGACTAAATTGATTGGGTATATGACAGCTTTACATCATGAATTAAATTATGTTGTTTAATTTCAGACAGGTAATGAATAAAGAATAAAAAATATCTACATTTATAAGAGGCTCATGGGTCACATGGGCACCTGATCATATTATAATCGATTTGATGAGTACATGTATTATGTAAATTATTGAATTATATTGATTTTTTTTCCTTGGTGAAGCTTTATTTGAAGGAGTGTGCATTTAGAGGCAAACACCTTAGTGCGGGTCTTATTGTCTCATGACAGCATCTAGTTTGAAATGCATCAAAATGAAGCTTGAAAATGAGTTTTCATGCCACAGTTTTCATTTTATTCATCTTTATAAGATTCAGTGTTTTTGAAAGTCTCAAAAAGGTCTTATAATAGTTGACATTTTCACCCTATAAAAGGAAGAAAAATTATACAGTTTTAGAGAAATAATTTCTTGAATCCAGGCTTAGATACCACTGCTTATTAACATGATATGAAATACAAAGTGATCTGTGGCGTCTTGCAATTATAGCAAAAGCCTTATACACTATGTACTATAGAATATATGATGGAAAAACTTACTAAATAAGTATAAAAATCATGACAATTTCTCTGAATGCCTGGAAACATGTATCTATAGTTTTTAAACCTAAAATATAATTGTTGATCAATTTGCAATTAGAAAATGCATTGCAGATATTCCAATTCGCATTTTCTGCAAAAATACTGGAGACTTGGCAATTTTCCTTATGCAATATGATTAACTTAAATCTTTAACCTTACAGAAATACTATGGACAAATTTACATAACTTCGGTGATTCTGAGGTACTTTTATGAGTTTTTTGATCACTTAACTGCTAACTTTATAAACCTGACCGTTACTGATTGTTATCACTTTTGCTATTCAAGGCCCTGCAAATTACATCATTGTGTGTTAAAATCTCAAAAATTATGTGTAGTGATTTTTATTCATAATTAATAATACAAAGCTCATTTTTATACTTACATCCAACTAGAAGAAGCCATTTTCACACAATGTTCAGGAAAGAGGAAGATTCTAAAACTAGAAGAGGAAATACCTTGAGTTGCTCTGGTTCAGTATGTAAATAAAGTAACTTCTACATTATCTGAATTTTAGGTCATCTGAGCTGAATGCTCAAATTTGCTTTTCTGATGACCCATGCGCTAATGTTAACCAAAAGGTAAAGAGGAGCTTGAATTATTAATGAATAGTGAAGTCCCCTTCAGTGGGTAGATAATCAAGAAAAGACAAAAATGAGGTTTAGTCTTTAAAAAATCTTCTTCTTAAGAACCACTGGACTAGAAAAACTAAAACCAATGTGGAGGCATTCTGGGGTAGTGTAGTGTTCTAAATTGTTCAAATTATGACCCCCCGGAGTAGGGTGGAACCACAATATGGAATCCAAACTTTTACTTTGGAATGCATAAGAAAAAATCTTTCAAAATCTTCTTCTTAAGAATTACTGGGCCAGAAAAGCTGAAACTTATTTGGATTCAACCTGGAATAGTGTTGATTCTAGATTTTCAAATCATGACCCCTGCTGGAGGGGGAGGGCCACAATAAGAAAGCAAAGTTATGCATTGAAATATATAGGAAAACATTCTAGGGCGTTATAGTAAATTTGATCACATACCGACTTCATGTCATATCCCAATGAAACTCTAAAAAATGATATTTAATTTCTTATATTTACATTCGCTGTGTTTTTCTACTAAGCCAACTGTGAAATTGATTTGAAAACCATTTTCGTGTATACCCACGCGTAGAAATATACACAGAGAAACGTGCGGTAACGTGACGTCACAATGAGACTGCAGCGACGTTAGTAAAAATGCAACAATTTAGGGCAGGGTAAAATTCAAATATTGAGTATATTTCAGTTGCTTACAAACATATAAAATGTAAATATAAGGAATGTCTTTAAGTTTTGTGTAAATTATTTGTAAATTATTAAGACTTGCACGTAGGCATATTTTTCATGAAGCGCTAGCGCTAAACTTAGGCTCCAATGTACAATTTGTCTTTATCATGTATATCTTTGCAAAAAAGGGGCTAAGCTAATAATAATGTTATTACTTTTTTGTAGGTTTTTTTTTTTTTTTTTTGGAAATTCCCTAACAAAAAAATACTATAGTTAACTATAGTTTACTATAGTTAACTATAGTAAATCAAAGTGTCAAAGTTTTCGCCAAAGTTTTTCAAAGTGTCAAAGTTTTCGCCAAAGTTTTTCAAAGTGTCAAGGTTTTCGCCAAAGTTTTTCAAAGTGTCAAAGTTTTCAATAAAGTTTTTCAAAGTGTCAAAGTTTTCGCCAAAGTTTTTCAAAGTGTCAAAGTTTTTGCCAAAGTTTTTCAAAGTGTTAAAGTTTTCGCCAAAGTTTTTCAAAGTGTCAAAGTTTTTGCCAAAGTTTTTCAAAGTGTCAAAGTTTTCAGCAAAGTTTTTCAAAGTATCAAAGTTTTCGCCAAAGTTTTTCAAAGTGTCAAAGTTTTCGATAAAGTTTTTCAAAGTGTCAAAGTTTTCGCCAAGGTTTTTCAAAGTGTCAAAGTTTTTGCCAAAGTTTTTCAAAGTGTTAAAGTTTTCACCAAAGTTTTTCAAAGTGTCAAAGTTTTCGCCAAAGTTTTTCAAAGTGTCAAAGTTTTCAACAAAGTTTTTCAAAGTGTCAAAGTTTTCGTCAAAGTT